TGGGAGTTTTTCCAGCATGTGCAACATAAAAGAAACCTTTTGTGTTCCCTTGCAGAACCGTGTTGACATCAGTGACGTAGACCCGGATGTCTTTAAGGAAATGATGGGCTTCATCTATACAGGAAAGGCCCCCAACCTGGAGAAGATGGCAGACAATTTGCTGGCAGCTGCAGATAAAGTAAGTGTCATCCTGTGCAATGTACAAGTCTGAAGAATGTTAGTGTAAAAAAAACAATACATTTGAGAAAAAGTGTGGTGTGCCAAGTCTACTGATTGGATGAATTGTTGGAGCCTGCAGTTAGTGAACAGGCCAGCACTAAGTTCAATAAAGCTAAAAGGCTAATCTTCTCTGATTTGTTTGTTCATCTTTAGAACATGATAGTTAAGTGTGTACAAATTCTAATTTCACACAGCACCATCAATCTTCATCACATCCTACTGTGTGTTTGTAAAGCTTGAAATGTAATGTTTTGAGACTGTCTAATAACTACAGATTTACGTTACTGAATGGATTGCTAGGGCATGTGTGGATCAATAATTAAATATTTCTCAGCCATTATCTTACGTACAAACGATGAGCATGGTACTGAAATGGCGTTTAATCTTGGCAGTATGGGAATAACATGTTTTTTATTTCTAATCAATGCTACTTTATAAAAGCAAGTTTTGCAAATATTTCTTCGGTGACTGAAGCATCATATGAGCTCCCAAATCCTTTTCTAGACAATACTATATTCTTTCCCTTAATAACAGACTCCCCTTGTTTAGGCTTAGATTAAGAATAAAGTACTCATCATGAATTTGTTATTGGCTTATTACTGAATAGAGAACCAGACATTTGAGCAACAGCTCTACTTCTCACTCGAAAAACATCGCAATCATTGCTAGAGTGAAATCAGATATGCCTTTGTGGTTAACTAGGTAATTCCTGTTTGTAAACCTTGCAAAACACATTAAGGAGCCAGCTGGTTTTGGATCCTGATCAACTAGTTGTAGCTGTTGCTTGTTTTCAGAATAGTTTAGACAAAACTTCAACCCACATTTGCATCAAGGTTGTAACAACTGCTTTTTGTGTCCCTCCTCTCCCCCGCGACCCCAGTACGCTCTGGAGCGTTTAAAGGTCATGTGTGAGGAGGCCTTGTGCAACAGCCTTTCAGTGGAGAACGTGGCCGACACCCTCATCCTCGCAGACTTGCACAGTGCCGAGCAGCTCAAAGCACAAGCCATAGATTTTATCAACAGGCAAGTATCGCAAAAAGAAAAAAACCCTCCAGTGATAAATTCCTGCTGCCATTTCTGTTTACCCGCCCTGAATGCTTACCTTTTTATCTCCTCGCCATAGGTGCAGTGTCCTGAGACAGCTGGGCTGTAAAGATGGAAAGAACTGGAATAGCAAGTATGTAATTAGGTGATATATGTGACACAAGATTAATAACACCCTCTTATCTCTCCCTCCAACCAGATGCATTAGAATTCATTGTTTTAGCCCGGGCAGACAGTGCTATTTGCCTTTTCAGTTTGAAGCTCCATATCTTTGTATCCAAGTTATTAATAGACTCATAGCTGGATAAACCCTGGAAATTGAATATTTTGGAGAATTCTAAAAAGAAGGCAGCAAAGGAAAGCTTTTCTCTGAGGTGATGTAGTGCGTTGTCACAGGGCACCTTGAGATGTTAAACTTATTTCTGTCTTTGTTGTATTCCACGGTGTGGTTTCTATTCCCACATTAATTTCAACCTATGCACAGAAAGCGCTAATGGCCCTTTTCAAGTTTACCACGCGACACTCGAATAAAGTGCCCCTTATTTGCTTCGTCATTACCATCTCATTTATGCTTATTGATTTTTAATGTGCACATTGTCATGTCTTAACTCCATTTCGCCTCTGCTTACAGTCATGCTACAGACATAATGGAGACTGCAGGCTGGAAGTCAATGATCCAATCCCACCCCCACTTGGTAGCCGAGGCCTTCCGCGCCCTGGCTTCAGCACAGTGCCCACCCTTTGGTCTTCCCAGGAAACGCCTAAAACAGTCCTGACCGCCCGACTGTGCCCCAGGACTTTACTGGAGGTGTGAAGCATGGGTTTACAAAGGAAGGACTAGCGAGGGTACCACTCTTTATTTCCACCAAAACTGAACACACTTGAACACAGAAGAGTGGAGCTTTCTAACCAGGGATTTGGGGAGGCTGGCACTTGGACGACTCACATCAGCAGATCGGGAGGAAAACAATTAGGTAAAAATTGGTGTTGCTTGCTTGCTTTGCTGCCCCAACTGAAATCTGTTCAGCCCGGGTAGCAAGTCAAGCTGTCTGCTACTCTTTTTTTCCCCTGTAATTTAAAAAAGGAATGGCCTTAATATATCTGCCATTGCTCTGGAGCTGTTCCGGAGTACTTTGTCTATTTTACTCTGTGCCTGCCTTGTCACAAAGACCAGGCCTCCTCCAGGTTGCACTAGTTCCCATGAATAGTCATTTTGATATGGAGTTCTATAGGAACGTAACAAAGGTTATACTAAATGGGAAATATTATATATTTGTAATGTTTAGCCCGTTTTGTGACTAGACATTAAAAAGCATGAACACTTTCAGTGCAAGGTCAGTTCTTTACACTTTTTAAAAGATGTGTATGCCCCATATTGATGGCACCATTTCTATGTAAATGACAGTTGAACCATCTTCAGAAGACCAGTGTACAAGAAAGTCTGTTCTATTGCGTATTTGTGGGGAAAAGATGTAATCTGCCATTATGAAGTCAACCCTTAAAGTACACGTGAGACGGAAAGTGTCTATACTTTGGCCCTAATATATTAAAACATTGGAAGTATTTACTCAGTCTCCCATCTGAACGGCATATTCCAGATCATACGTCTGTGAACTGTTATAGATTAAATTGAGAATTTCTGTCCTTAGTATCGCCACCTTGCAGATATTATATATTCTCAATATATTGTGGTTAACTAAAACGTGGAGAAACTAATGCATGGTCATGTTATCGTCAAAGAAAGTGTCCAAGTACCAATTTTGTTTTTAACAATTTATTTTTCTGCAATTATCTGACATTTCTGTGCAGAATGACACGGATTGAGTATGTGCAAAAACAATTTCCTCTAACATGCTTGGGTATTTGTAGGATGCTGAGCATCACTTCTACTGGCAATGTTATTCTGTGTTTGAATGGGGGGGGGGGGGGGTTGTCATGTTTATTCAGTCCGTCTCGTATGTAGTGTGGTGTGACCGACACTTCAGAGGATTTTGTAAATTAAAAGAGTAGCATCGTTTTTACATGATATTACTCATCGTTCAGAGTCATGTCGAGATGTTGAAACTTCTTTTTGTTTGGAAGCAAAAAAGATGAAGATGTTGTCTGCAAGAATGCCTGCATTAACCCATTAAACCATTTTCCAGCAGCCTGAAGAAGAGCGTTTTTTTTCTTGTTTGAATCCATTGACAAGACCTGTCAGTTGAAGGAACGGTGATTATTTTCCAAACGGTTTCATTTTTAATGAACATATTAATGGGCGCGAGTGTCAGGCTGAGGTTATTACGCCCTCTCACCCCTTTTTAAATGCAAGATTAGAAAACAACACTGAGATAATCAAAAGAAAATGTGCTCACCCTGGATTAGCATAGTAACATGTTTAATGTTGAACCTTTACAGCACATGAAAGGCCTTTTTCCCTCTTGTGTTATGTGTGAATGTTTCTGCACAGACTCTAATTAAAGTGAACACGGGGCCGCTCTTCCCTGCCGGAACAGAGACGTCTTCATCAGCGGTGCGCTGATCCCCGTCCGCCCCTCTCGGCACAGATCCAGGAAGAGACCCGATACCATCTATGCTTTTAGGATGCCTCTCCCACCTTTTATCTTCCTCTTTCCTCCACTAGCTGTTATGCTTGAAAGAGGAGATGCCTGCAGTGGCGTGGTCACAATTGGAAATGTGTTCTGTCATAGGAAACGAGGTTTTTAAAGAGGCGGTGGACAATTGCACTGTGCCAGAACTTTAGATGCTTTAATATAAACGTGGGCATGGTCAAATTGGTCAATTTGTGTGAAAATGGCTGTCATATGAGTCCACATAACAAAGTGTGGCTGCAGAAGAGTGTCCTGACTTAAAATACAGACACCACCATTCCCACCATAAATAACTGATATTTTGAGACAAAATAATCACTATTTTGTGAAAATATATTTTGAACTCCTGTACCTGTATATAGTTTCCTTTTGTGTCCCTGAGGGTATTTTGACAAAGTTTAGGGTCAGGAAAATGTCAAATCTAGCCATGAAGTACCTGGCATCTGTACCAGGACCAGCCTTCATGAATTTGAGCTTATGCAGTAAGAGTGTACTAAATGCAGCATGTCTTGATGCTGGGTTACTATCAGCTAGCAATTTTTGCCTTTCTAATTAATTTTCTCTTTGTGATTGTTGACTGTCAATCCAGAGATTTAATAAATGCAGCGAAGCTTTACATTTACCTAGGAAGTAACATTTTAGCCTGCTGCAAATGTCTTAGTACATTTTATATTATAAAACACTTCCATTTATTTGTATTGGTGTTAATTATGAGATCAGTGTTTAACATGGGTAATTAGCTAACAAATTGAAAGTAATTTGTTAATTGCGTGCCTAATGATGTCACCACTGAAAAGCATGTTAGCATTCCTATTTAGTTTTCAAGCATTTGGATGTGTGCAGCAGGGAAAGCCTGGCGTGGTTGGATGGCAGTAGGTGCCTCACCCTGATCAGATAAGAGTAATGGAAGCGATGAAAAGACCCCTGTCCCTGATGGCCACAGCAAAATGGATGTGCTCCCTGAGGTGTACCTCTGGTATCATCCACGCCTGTGGACACAGATGTATTGCCCATTAAAAAGCAACACTGAAATGTACCTCTTAAAATGGCGTGTTTATCCTGTTGAGAAGTCCTTGTAGGAATGAAACGAGACAACTGTGAGCACCGACAGACTGGGGCTGAGTAAATGTGACAATATGCTGTGAGCCAAGTTCAAATAAGGTTTTAATGCCATAAAAACCAAAATTGTTCTTTACAATTCCATTTGAACAAAAAATCAACCCCCTATGAAATCAAATATTCCAGAAAATGAACATTTGTACTTACACTATACACACAGCAGTGCTCTTTTTTTTCTTCTATTTTACAGGGTACACGGTTAAAACAAGGTTAAGCAAGCAGGAAATGAAAATACAATCTGCAAGAATTACAGAAAAGGATATCAAAGCAATCTATACCCTACCTATAATCTATGAATGACATCTATCTACATAATATCGCTTAGCAAACACCAAAAATATGAACAGTATACTTATTGATATATTTCTCTTGAAAAATTATAATTAATTGACATTGTTTACTCCATTAGTAAACACCATTATTTTAGTTGCACGTTAATACACAGCATTTGCACAAAGGAGTAGAACTAAAACACCAACATACACCATCTTGGATTTAATTATTTCCTAATCATATCATACTCCTCCTGTAAAATGTGACAGGATAATTTACAGATGATGGGGGGGAAAAGGTGAGATACAGAAAATAAAAGTAACATTGACAGAAATAATTGTCATGTGATTAGTCAGTGGCACATGCCCTAGTCTAAAAACCCTTGATATACGCAATAAACACAATTTTTGACATTTCATGGGTTGGTGGTTTTCAACAGAACCTTTTTCAAAATGGTTTAAGTGATTGCAAATTCAAAGCACATTTCACCATTTACTACAAGACTGGATGTGATCCACTTTTACACAAAAGTCAGTCAACTTAAGCCTGCTGTACAGTTGGGAAATGTATGACATTTTCACATGTAAGTCCCACTTCTCATTAAAATTCCAGACGGATTTTGTACTTTTCGCCTTTTTTTTTTTGGCTTCTCCACTCTTAGTCTTAGGTAAATGAAATTTCCCAGGCTAATTAAAGCCTATTAAAGACAGGTAATGTCAGGGCTGGTGGCAGGACCATGACAAAGTGCTGATAATTGTCTGCCAGACTCACTAAATCCACCTGTCCTGCAATTATCGCCTCTCCCCCTCCTCTCCTGACACATTAATCCACTGCGGGGCTCTCTCGGCAGGCTGATGCCTCAAAGTGCATCCTGCAAACACAGATGTTGGATTTCAGACTAATTTAGCATACACATGCCTTGTGATGGTTGCAGCGGAAAACCGACACATAAGGAGCACAAAAGGCAGCAGCCAGGTTATACACGGATGGGTACCTACATACGAATGAGTAATGATTTACAATTATGTTCTCTGCTTGCTGTTGGGATTAGATTTACTGGATCAATTTATTTTGTCACGGGCACATAATCAATTGACTATTCCAGTCCCTATATAGAAAGACAAGAAATAAAATATAGATTGTGAGGCCATATTTCACAGCTACTTGAGAAAAATTGATCAAGCTAATCTGAATAGACTGCGTGCCTGTGTCCCGTTAACAAGTACAAATGGATATTAGCTCTACTTTCGAAGGCAATGAACACTTCATTTTGTCAAATCAAAACGTAATAATGTTTCAAAGGGGAAATATCTAATTTTATCCTGCGTTGAACTGAAACGTCTTGGTAATTATTAACCTGGTTCAAAGCCTTATCATATTTCATCCCATAATGGTTTCAGTGAGGTGAGGAAATCAATGTTGGCATCAATGCACTGAAGCTGGCTATGCACTTCCAACTGGGAGTCCCTCTTGCCTATGGACTAGCCTTGAAGAAAACATCTGGACAACATGCTAATTACACCAGCGGTTTACGGAGAACATGTGCTGTTGTGATGGGGAGGAGTCACCCAGGGTTGGTAGCTAGCTCTAAATCCCAAGTCAACCCCTAAAACCAAGTCCCTGAACACCTAACTATCTCAAGTTCTATATACAAAAGTTTATTTTTTTAACAATGCATCAAATCCCTCCAGAATGTGCCCCATTATAAGTTCCCACAACGTGTCTCAGGTATTTAGGTGTTTCGGGACAGGGAGCTTAGAGGTTGACGTTGACATAACTTTAAGGTTGATGCCTACTACCAACAGCCAGATCATCCTGTGGAGGAGTAAGGTTGGTCGCTATGGTAGTTGTAGTCAGGGCATACCTTCTGCACCAGTTTATAGTCTACACTGTAAAAGGCTATATAGATGCATATGACTTTGAAGGGTTTGGAGCACAGCCAGGACACGTGGCTCTGCGTCTGCTCCTGATAGCACACCTTGGACGGGTCGAAGCTGCACAGTGCAGTCTTCTTGTTGCGGTCCGTCTTCTCGTACTCGATGCGACAGTTGAACGATTTGGTGTCTTTGGTCTCCAGCGTGGACTGCTGGGCGATCTCGAACTCCACCACCTTGGAAGGCGGCACCAGGCTGACCGACACGTTCCCCAGGCCCGTGGAGTTGTGGCGGAAGTAAACACTAAAAGTGCCATTCCCGTGGTCCACGATCTTCCCCGTGATCAGCAGGTTGAGTTTGACAGTCTTGATGTTGGAGTGGAAGTCCCCCCACCCGAACATCTTTTTGAACTTTCCGGTCTTGACGATGGGCCTGCGTTTAGTTCTGGCCTGTGCCCCCTGAGCATCTGTCTGGTTAGATAACCAGTCCCAGAAGTCCTCCATATTCTGTAAATATGTTATTTCCCTCATGTTGCTCTTGAACCCGGGGGAGCCCTTGGCAAACAAGCGCAGGGGGTTGAGGATCCGTGGACTGGCACCCGTGGGAGAGATCTTCTGTTCGGTGTCAATGTCAGCCCACTCGATGAGCTCTGTGGCTCCTCCGTTCTTTTTCCTGCATGTGACCTGCAGATAAAACAAGAAAAGGTAGACCACATAAGTCTTTTAAATAAAATGTATTTGTAATGCTAGTGCACAGTCCATAATGCACTTAATGTCTATAGTTTGAAAAGAACAAAAAATGCCTTTCACACAACAGGCATATCAGAAATATCCAAGTAAATTCAACTCTGATTGACAACTGATTGCAGTGTAAAAATGCCACGGTAGCAGTTCAGCACAAAGGAGAAAGAAAACAGCACTTCAGCACTAAAGATGGAGAGCAAAAAAAATGGCTCCTGCTCCATGATGGAGCCACCCAGTTGTCACACATGTTAAGATTTACTTTAGGAAACGCTGAACCACAGCAAAGGTACCCATGGGAAACATTTTGTTTGGTAAACGTAAGCTTTGCAACTTCTTCAAACAGACGCTTGCACTTCAATCAGACTGCAGCAGGAGTGCTCAGTCTTTGAGAAAAATAAATGAAATAAACATCTCAGCAGGGCCACTTCTTTTACACAAATAATGCATTAGGGAAACAAGTTTGTACTTTCAATAAAACTTAAGGAAAAATAAATTGCTAAAATTGCCAGTTGTAATTCACTCATCTTTAAATTTGGTTTCCTATGTCAAGAGTCCATAATGTAGACCCTGGGCTACCAGATCAGGAACATTAAAAGGGAATAAACAGCATTCAAGTTCTTTACAAAATACTTGTTAACAGCTTTATCAATGCTAAAAACTCCGCAAAAAAAACGCAACTAATCATTTTTTGTTTTACAAATATACAGAATATTTTCAACATATTCCAGATACGTTACAAGGTAAAGGTGTAAAGAGTGCTATGTTCTTCTTGATTTTAATGTAAATTCTGGAAAGTATGTATATTGCAAAGAATGAATGATTGTTCTAAAGATGAACACATCTGCATACCTTTTGCTATTCAACTGAAACTAAACAAAGCTAAACTAAGCTGAACTAAGCTAAGCTAACCTGCTAGTGTTATTTTAATGTTACGTTAACATGGAAACTTATCAACTAACTCTTAGAGAAAAAAACAAATAAAGAATATTTCCCACACCGTCAAACCATTTATTAAAACTCATATTAGAGCGTCATGGATGTGTAACTTGCTATGTTTAAACCACAAGTTAACTGAGTCACGCCACTCTCTACAATGAGCTTCGCTTGTCTTACTTTTGAGTTTTGTAACCTATGACAGCAATAAAAAACACAACTATTTGCTATTCAAGCTTCTGGAATGGCTGAAACACTGCCAAGTCTTAAACTCTCTTAAACGTCAGTAAGACAATCCCTTGTTCATTTGATGTTAAGGAAGCTTTGGTGTGTGTGGAGGCTGAGGATGCTGGCAGGCCTGTGCAGTACACAGTTGGCATTCCTTCACAGTACCCAGGATGAAAGAGAAAGGGGCTGAGGTTGGTCAAGGGAGTTTGGATTAAGACAGAAAGGCACATTTGTGACTATGACCCTAAGTTATATGTTGGACAGTTCCACTAGTTTATCAAACCTGAACTAAAAACTATTCATAGATTTTAGCAGCACCAAAGATGGTGACATATCAAGAAACATCATTTTGGATGCAGCAATGAACTTCAGCTATAGGCTCCTACATTTACATAAATCTTGTAATATTTAGAGCGACTTGTCAGATTCCGTGACAATGAAAATCCCCCGGACTTAACATGTGAGCAGGTCTTACATCTGTCGGGCTATTCTAAGATAAATGCAAAAGAACTTTGGCTCCCAACAATAAAACAAGCTTCCACAGTAGCATTGCAAAGTGTGTGCTAAGTGCTAATCCAGACGCAGCAATGAACTGTGATCCCTCCTTGTGCCTCAAAGCCTTTTTAGCTTCAGGAGCCATTCCTGGTCCACTTCAGATAAAGCTTTAATAATTCATGGCAATAAGCTTAGCTAGTTTTATTAGTAATTAGTAGTCCCAGCTTTCCCCGGGCCCGGTTGTAGGGATCACTGAGAGAAGCAGATGTTGAAAGCAAGCGGCTGTTTGAGTTCTCACTGAGCTGCACTTGCAGACTAATTATAATTTCGCTGTGAGCCTAACTGAGGCACGTGTGTACAAAGCTAACAAACTAGGTCTTCCTGCTACGATTTGTTTTGTCACATTCCTATAAATCTCCCTAGTCGGCTGGTAAAAGGTCTTATAATTAGAGCTTTTTCTCTACTTGGCTGCTTAAATCCCACACCGTAGTAACACAGGACGTAATGGCTCGGCTATCTGGGTATGTAATGTGAAATCAATGCGTCTCCCACGGACAGTGAGCCTGACCCATCCATCAGCCCTCACCAAGCTTAATTAAGACAGTTGCTCCCTGTAAACATGGATGAATGAGGCACCACTGTAATAATGTCCCTCTGCGTGGCTCATCACATTCACCGTCATTTAATCAACCAATTCCAGTGGCACTATTCCCTCACGGATACTGCCACTTAGTAATACCTCTTGTGAGTTCAGCCGTTAATTTGATTTGACTCTTACAACACCACAATAACAGGCGATGCCGGAAAAAACATTTAAATCGGTGGGACTGCGGGCTCCCAACAGGACCATTTCCTCAATGCTGCGAGCAAAGAGGACGTAGCACCCGTCTTCCCACCAGCCCCAGCCGTTATATCCGTTAAACATTGGGTGTCATGCTGCGCAGCTTAAGGGGTGAAACCAAATGTTGTCGTTCAGTGTAAATCTCAGGTGAGTTTTGTATTGGGTGATTATAATGGAAATGAGAGAGGAGTTTAAGTATGATGAGCGACTGGGGAAATTGCTGTGACAACAAGGGGATCAGCATAGGGATATCTAATACTTATATGCCCCGAGAGAGATGAAGCACGGGGAGCTTGAAAGCTCGCACTGACACACTGGCTTTGGTTTCCTTCTCCCTCGCTGTCTCTGTGCACCAACACACACTTCGTTAATTTAGGCGGAAGTGGTGTCTCCTTAAAACACACTAAAGGAATATGAGTTTTTGTATAACGCAACGCTGTGGAGAGAAAAAAAGACTGGCAAGGTCTGATGAAGGAGAATCAACAAAAGCTTAATTAAGATTTCTTAATCGCTGCTGCCGGGCTAGAGGCGTTTCGGGGCGACTTGAAACAAGACATTATTATGATAATAACTGCAGACTTATGGAGCTGAAAACACCAGACCTCATTTCAACAAGGCAGTGGATATCTGTCTGTGGTTTAGCTTCTTCCTTGCCTACAAGAACATCCATAACAAATACAGAGAGGTGCATTAACCTTCCACTCACAAGCAAAGATATTACAGCCATACAAGAGCAGTCAAAGGAGTATGTGGCTTATAAAAGAGAAGGGATACAGCTGAAAACAAAAAGTGGATTTTCTACACTTTACTGTTAGTTAATGTTCAAATAATAATAATCAATTGACATGACTGTGCCACTGGTAAGTTGTGCTGACTGCTGTTGTTAATTAGTTTTGCAAAAGCTATGGGATTTTAAGGATTGTTCACACATTTTACACCATAATTTCAGATACAGAATTGTCTGAAAGTAAATTCAATTCATTATAAAACGAAGTCCTTGGGAAAGCTGACATCATTATTTTATGATAGGCAGATGTTTAAAAGTTTATGAAAGAATAAAATGCAAATTCTATTGAGTTTGGGAAGGTTAGACCTAAAAGTCTAGCTGTCACTGACAGGCTTTCACTCATTAAATCAGTATAAAATCCACATTATTTACATCTGCAGCCTTTTATCTTAGGTTACAGGCCATTATTGTGCAAAAACATCTTCAAACTGGATCAACTTGTCATATTCTTTTAACACTGTGTCAAAAGCACATTCACAGCTCAGCAAAACTTTCTGTCCATGCATTAATAACATGGAATTTACTTTCAAATATTGTTAACTTTGAAGTATTTTACAAACTGCCCTGAGTATGTTGATTTACATTCATGTTCTGTATCTTTTGTGTTCTAAATACCTTCCTGGCTGAATAAAACATGCACAAAGATCTTTAGAGAATCCTAAGAGAATTATCAAGTCTCTCTCCTCACGCTACATGCATCGTATATTTGATTTCCTGTTATGTCTATCAATACCAGAAGTATTAGTGGAACTAAGATACTGACAGCGGTCTGAGCAGCAGCGAGCCACACGCAGACTCAGGATGAATCAGACTCCTCATTCATCTGTAATGAGCATTATGGAGCTGGCTGCCCGCTTGTCCCGTGGGAAGACATATCTTTTAGAGGCCTGACATAAAGGTAATTGCCACAGTGACCAGAACTAGCCTCTAGAAAGTTATTAAGAAGCCAGTGACATCTGGCTTGTGGATCATCTGAAGAGATGCCATTAAAATGCGTTTTCAGCGAGCAGCCGGCGACGTTGTGCACGGCCGCGGTGGTTTCTGGGCCGCGGGCAAGGCTACAGTGATGTGTCGATGGAATCTCTGCTAAACCTGGCATAGTTGACACGTGGCCCTGACTCATGATCTGTGATTTTTATCTTTTTTCTGTTCTGCGTGTTATCCTCTGCCATCCTCTGCCATCCTCATAAACCTCATATCGGTCGGCTAAAATAATTTTTCCAGGGTTGAGTTTTTTCCAGCACATAAGGTCGTGATATGCGTCGGGGGAAAATTGGTTTCAGGCATCTTCCTCACAATAAACAAAATGGGCAATTAACCTGCTCATCAGTGCAAGCAGAGCTATTCCAATGATGCACTCCACTGTTCTTCATGGATTTATCTGTGCAAATTGACCTCACTTTGGTGGTGCAATTCATTTCTCTGCTAATTTTCTGTGTCTGAAGCTTCATTAACTTGATGCGCTTCCACGCAGTAAAAATCTGGGCACCCCGTGGAAATTACACCGGCTCCCCCACTGCCTAACGGTAACACTTCCTCAGCATTACTGCAGCACAACACCTGCCATATTAGAGCCGCTCGACCGCTATACTGCTAGCATTAGATGGCGAATTGAATGCAGCCTCTTGCTCCCAAGCATCCAACATGACAAGCGGC